AGTAAATGAATATTTATTTGCCCTGGCTCCCTGTTAAAGCTGGCTGGAGCCAGGGGCAGTAGGACCCAGAGGGAGCCCTCAGCAGGCTTGAGCCCAGCCCCTCCCACCCCCAGCCAGTGTCCTGCTTTCCTGCCCTGCTCCAGCACCACCTGGCGGCTGCATCCCAGACCCAGGAGCATGGGACTGCGCTGGTAGGGTTGTGTATGTGTGTGCGTGCACATTGGCAGGGAGAGTGTGTGTGTGTGTGTGTGTGTGTGTGTGTGTGTGTGCGTGCGCGCGCGCGCATGTGTGCAGGCACAGGGGCATTGAGCATGTGTGTGTGTGCGCGTGCAGGCACAGGGGCACTGGGTGTGTGCGTGTGTGCGCGCGCGCAGGCACAGGGGCACGGTGTGTGCATGTGAGTGCGTTTGCAGGCACAGGGGTGCTGTGTGTGTGTGCACGCATATGCACAGGGGCACTGTGTGTGTGTGTGTGTGTGCGCGCGCACGCGCAGGCACAAGGGTGCTGTGTGCGTGTGTGCGCACGCAGGGATGCTGCGTGCCTGCGTGTGTGCGCGCGCAGGCACAGGGGTGCTGTGTGCGTGGGTGCGCGCGCAGGCACAGGGGTGCTGCATGCGTGGGTGCGCGCGCAGGGGTGCTGCATGCGTGTGTGCGCGTGCAGGCACAGGGGCGCTGCGTGTGTGCGTGTATGTGCACGTGCAGGCACAGGGGCACTGTGTGTGTGCGTGCGCAGGCACAGGGCATTGAGCGTGTGCGTGTGTGCGCAGGCACAGGGGCACTGGGTGTGTGCGTGTGTGCGCGCAGGCACGGGCACTGGGTGTGTGCGTGTGTGTGTGTGCGCGCAGGCACAGGGGCGCTGCGTGTGTGTGCGCGCGCAGGCACAGGGGCGCTGCGTGTGTGTGTGTGCGCGCGTGCAGGCACAGGGGCACTGTGTGTGTGCGTGCAGGCACAGGGGTGCTGCGTGTGTGTGCACACGCAGGCACAGGCACAGGGGCACTCTGTGTGTGTTCATTGGGTGAGTCCCACACACCCCCCTCCATACACACGCACGTACGCCTCTCTTCACACTGCCATACACAAACCCCAGCCACCCTCACCCCATACATACCCACACCCCACACACCCGCAAACCTATTACCACCCCCTACAATATACAAGAATAAGACTTCAGTTTAAGCTATTGTGCCGTCACCTCTATGTACACTACACAAATGCATGTAAATCAGGACAAAAATATTTTTTGCAATCAAATTAATGTTGTAGGTGATCACTTTTTAGAATATAGTTCGGTATTTTTCTGGTTCAGCAAGGGCTTTTGCCATCCCAGAAAGGAGTAGGTGCTTCTAGGGGTGAGGGGTGGGACTTCTGGTTACAAGACAGCAACCAGGGGGCGGGGCGCCTGTCAAGGGGCGGGGCTACCCATGCAGCCCTTGACAGCTTGCCAAAACTCGGTAAGCAGCCCTCCTTCCTTCGGAAATAATTGCTGGCCCCTGCCCCAGGGGATGCTCCGCAGACACCACCAACTGTCTGTAGCCTGCAGCAAGTGCTGACCTGAAGCTGCCACAGGCTGAGCACGTTACGGGTTGTGCTGTGCAGGGCATGGGGAAGTGACCCCAGAACCTCAGGGTTTGGCCCTGCCTTGTGCTGGGAGCTCCCAGCTACCTGGTTCTCTGCACTCTGCGAGCAGGACGGATGGGCCAGGGTTACCCCCAGATTTCAGGGTGAACCACTGTGAAATCAAAAGCACTGATCCTCCTTTCCTCTTTGACAGGGTTCATGGGGGGTTGTGCACAACGCCAGCCGCCTCCCCAGGCCCTACGGTTTCAGCCACCTTCTCCAGCTCACCAGGGAGACAAGAGCTTGCACTGGAAATCAGACAGGAAAAGCAGGTAAATCAAGGATGGGGGCAGAGAAAATTCCTGTGGGGAAGAGAACAGGCAATTCATCACTTTGCCCTGTGCTGGCCCACACTAGGGATCATGGGAGGAAGGGGCCTTGGGAGAAATATCAGGTGACTGAAGAATGGTCTTGTTTCTTGGGATGTTCCTGCTCCTGTGTGCTGTGATCAGGGCAGTTGCTGGTTTCTAGCCCAGTCCCCTGGCTTCCTTTGCCTTCCAGGGACCAGTGCAGTCATTCTCAACCATGGAACTGCGGCACATGCAGGTGCTGTGAGATCCTTTTCGATGTGCCACGCAATATTTGCCCTGTTAAGTGTTCCAGCACGTACGTGTGACTCACAAGAGAAACCCAGAGATTTCAAATAGGCATCCAGAGGGCCACGGACGTTTCTGACCTGTTAGGGTCTTTCTGAGTTCTTTGCAACAAGACTTGCTCCATTATTTTGTGCTTTTGCTTCCCAGGGACAGTAGCCCTTGGATGGGGCCTGTCTTGTCCTGGTGGGCAATGACAGGGCTGTGTCCAGGGGAACTGTGGTCACGGGGGGAAAACCTGCGCTGTGTCCATGGCCTGATTCTGCCTTGAATGAGCCCTGGGGGAGGCAATGTCATTCCTGGAGCCTGGATTTCCCAGTGTCCCAACCTGGGTTTTGTTTACAAGGGATGTGACTTCATGCCTATTCCCAGCAGAGGGCCCCCATGTGCCTGCCAAGCCTTGGACTTGAAGCTGTCAGTGAAAGCAACAGGGATCCCGACTGCCTCCCCAGATACCCTCTGGCAACAGCAGAGCAGAGCTCAGGATGACATCTCAGCCAAAGGATGGCACCAGAAGTGTGTGCCTGCCCCTGCCCTCGTGCAGTGCCCCAGCCTCAGCTCGGGATGACCTCACGACCTTTCACATTTGATTGAACATGACCTTGGCACAAATGAGACCAGTCTCAGGGTGCACTGTCCAGTTTCTGGGCTGGCTCATGGCTCTGCCATGCCTATTTTCAGTCACCTGCAGTAGACAGAAGTGGGGAGAGGCTGAGACATTTCTATGAGCCGAGGCATGCCATGAAGATCCATCAAAAACACACTCCCCGACACTGAGCATCCCTGCACATTTCAGCCAGTACGGGCACCCCAGGCAGGGAACACAGCCCACGCTCGCTGCCTGCCAAAGCCTGACGGGGGGCAGTGTGTGACAGGATGCCATCTGACTCAACAACACCATTCACACAGGAGACTGGAAATGCTGTGGGATTCACTCCTGCTCATGTACTTGGCTCTTCTGATGCCTCGAGATCCTTTACAGCTGCTGTAAATAAATTTTCAATAATAAAAGGGAGGAGAGGGCAACGGTGTGTATTAAAAAAAGGGAGAGAGAGAGATGTGGGGAGCTCCATGACACAAGAGTGTCACCCTCATAAGCAAGGTGCTTCTGGAAAACAAAGCCAGGCTGCATGGGCAGAGGAGGCCCCGCATGGATCCAGCTGCAGCAAGTGCTACCACATCATATTTTTTCCAACAGACTGGCTCACTGGGAAGGCCCCCCTCCTCCAGTCTGCAAAACAGGGCTCTGTATGCCCAGCAGATGCAACCATGAAGCACCAGAGAGCTGCCCCGGCCCGCACACCATTGCCCGCAGCTGGCACCTGCCAGGGACAGGAAACTCTGCAAGCACATTATGCACATGCAGATGTACACAGGAAAACCCTTGCTGGAAGAGGGGCCCTCTTCTACCCCTTTGCAAACAGGGATGCCCAAGAGGTATAGCCATGGGGCACTGCACCACATACACTGAGGGAAGGCGACGCATCACCACAACACCCAGACGCAGGACCAGCCGTTGTGCACACGCTTCACCAGGCAGGGCCGGAGCCTGGTGGGTTCCCGTGTGACCAGTGTCCAGACAGTGTAGCATGGATGTGTTTGCAGGATCACGGTGTCTAAAGAGCACACACGTGCAATGCACAGTAGACACAGGTGTGCACAGACACATGCTTCAGACACACGTACACAGAAGCAGATGTAGGTGTGTGCAGACAGACACACACACACACACACGCATAGGGACAAACACCCAGAAACACAGGCTTGTGTGTACCCATGGGCGGCCACACACAGATGCAGCGATGCAGGCAAGGTCATGCATGCCACATCCACATCCACATCCACACACACACACACACACACACGGGTGCACACATACACAGAATGGCTCATGCATACATGCACCCACACATACATGCACAGGCTCATGCATGCATGCACACGCGCGCGCGCGCGCGCACACACACACACACACGGGTGCACACACACAGAATGGCTCATGCATACATGCACCCACACATACATGCACAGGCTCATGCATGCGTGCGCGCGCGCGCGCACACACACACACACAGAGGCTCATGCATGCACACGCGCAGGCTCACACACACACAGACATGCACGCGCGCGTGCGCGCGCGCACACACACACATGCGCACGCGCGCACACACGTGGGGCCGGCAGAGGGTGCTGGCGGCCGGGGCTGCGGGGCGGCGGGAGCCGGGCCGGGCCGGG